GCTAGAGAAGAAACAAGTGTGTTTTCTTTTTCTCCTGTGGAAACAAAATAAAGCAAAACATAACAAGGGTATAGGATGATGTGAATTCTGGGCACCTGACTTTTGTTTCTAATGGACAGATCAAAGGAAGAAGGAAAAGATCTCTGCCTGTACCTACCTAGTTTTCAAGTCATTATACAACAATAGCCCAGCAGCCATACACATGAAACCACTGGGTACTTCACAGTTCTACAGTTCATTGAGCACTGGATGGACCACTACTCAGATTAGGATATAGCTCAGTTTACTCACACTCTTATGATTATTTCTCTAGTTTATGCATTCTTTGTTTTATTCCCCATTCCTTATTCCAAAGCACTCCATAAATGGGGAAAGGTGACCGGAAATTATCACACGTTTATGATGCTGATATATTTGACCTGTGCCAGGCTGTGGGCCCAGGACCATCTCCTGTGACTTTATACTTTATATACATTGATCAGAGCTTTCTCAACATTAAAAAAATTGTACCTCCAACATTGTACTGCTCTCTACAGCATTAATGGAAAATTGCAGGACAAGGCAGGACAGCCAAAAGTTTACATAGCTTTATGGTTTTTTGTTTTTGTTTTTGCTGTTAAACTGAGTCTTTCTTCACAGATCATTAGGAAGGAAGGCTTTGTTTCTAGCACTGTGGGCTGTAGAATATCAAACACTGCTGATCTATGTCTCTTGGTACAATTTTTGACATCTCTCTTGGCTTGTTTATTAACCCAGCATAACATTTATGTGTTTTTGAAAGGGATGGCATGACTCACTGAATTCCTGGAAAGTACTTTGACTTCCAAATTTGCTGTGAGATATTGTGGATTGGTGTGTTTGGGTAAAATTGTGTTGAGTCTTACACTAAGCTTATAGGAAAAAGACCTGGAAGAATTTATTTCCATGAGATTCCCATATTACGTTGGGAGCCAAGGAGCTCTTTTAGCTTGTAGGGTTCAATTTGGATCCTTTTATTTTGCTGTTTGATACAGTGATGTGATGACTGCTGCATGCAGGGAAGAATGTTGTTTTCCCTGTGACCTGCACTTAAAAAATTCAATCATACACAGTCGAGTAAATGTCCTCTGAGTCTGTCCCTCTCTGTGTGCTTGAGTGTCTTTAATGTTTTGTCTTTCCCAAGTGCAGATCAACCTGCTTTCATTTGCCTCTTCCGGCAGGTCCGGTCCTGAGTTTCTACTCCATCTTTTATGTTCATATTAATTGGCCTATGTCCTTGTACTGTAGCTTGAACAATCAATGGCATGTCTAATTAAAAAGAGTTTGGAAAGTTCTAGTGTGGGAGAGTCGTTTTTAAAATCTGAGATGCTTATTTTCTAGTCTTTCAGACTAGATATTCTCTCATGAAAGTCAATTTAAAACAATAAGTATTTAGCAATCTTTCATTTTACAGGTAGAACTTTACTTAAAATCATAATTGAGCCTGGAATTATGGTCATAAATTGAAGCAGTACATGACTGGATTCAAAGTTACAGAGATTTGTATGATGATTGTTAAAGAAGCACCATGGTCATCAAGTGAATTCAATTTTCCCAGAGGTCATTTTTTGCCAGAAAACAAGTAAATGCTAGAGATGGGCAAAAAACATTGCATATCATGGTCCCATGATTACAGGATACTGCAAACAGCCATAAAGGCTGGTTGCCAAGTGCCCAAAATATAATCACATGACTGTGGTGTGTGTGTGTGTGTATATGCAGCCATCATAATTTAGATCTTGGGAGGGTCCATCATAACTTCAAAGACTCATTAAGTGATCAATTGTAAATAGAGGACTATCTATAAATCATTTGAAAAAAGGTGATTCAAATCACAGTGGAAACAATACTGTTTTTAGGATTGTTATCAAAGTGGCTGTGACTTTTACAAGACTTTCATGGCTGCTTTGAAATTTCCTGATTTTTGTGGGTGTGTACCAGGACAATCAGTGAATTGACTGAGCCCGCACATGTACAGTATAGTTACAAGTTATGAGAAGTTTCTACAAGGCAGTCTTGTAAAAGACATGATTATGTCTTTTAAATATTTTTCACAGTCCTGGTATTTATAACAACGGGGGCAGTGAAATTGTTCTCTCCAGAAATTGTTGGATTCCAATTTCCATTATTCACCTCCAGTCACTCTGCTTAATAACAAAAGATGGATAATGTTAGAATTCAGCAACTATTAGAAGGGTAATAGAAATGATCAAAGTGCTTAACATGTTATTTTAGCATTCCTTATAGGCTCAGTACCAATTTTTCTGAGCAGAGCTGCCATATCTAGGCGTGATGTTGATGCAGCTCCTGAAATTATTTAGTCTCTACCTTCTAATTATGAATCCTATTTTTGTTATAGATTTTGCTGGAATAGTCCTACAAAGACCATTAGAACTGGTATTCTTTAGATGTACACTGCTCAAAAAAAATAAAGGGAACACAAAAATAAGACATCCTAGATCTGACTGAATGAAATATTGTTATTAAATACTTTGTTCATTACATAGTTGAATGTGCTGACAACAAAATCACACAAAAATTATCAATGGAAATCAAATTTAGCAACCCATGGAGGTCTGGATTTGGAGTTACACTCAAAATTAAAGTGGAAAAAAACACTACAGGCTGATCCAACTTTGATGTAATGTCCTGAAAACAAGTCAAAATGAGGCTCAGTAGTGTGTGTGGCTTCCATGTGCCTGTATGTCTCCATGTCCCAACAACACCTGGGCATGCTCCTGATGAGGTGGCGGATGGTCTCCTGAGGGATCTCCCCCCACACCTGAACTAAAGCATCCCCCAACTCCTGGACAGTGTGATGCAATGTGGCATTGGTGGATGGAGCGAGACATGATGTCCCAGATGTGCTCAATTGGATTCAGGTCTGGGGAACAGGCGGGCCAGTCCATAGCATCAATGCCTTCATCTTGCAGGAACTGCTGACACACTCCAGCCACATGAGGTCTAGCATTGTCTTGCATTAGGAGGAACCCAGGGCCAACCGCACCAGCATATGGTCTCACAAGGGGTCTGAGGATCTCATCTTGGTACCTAATGGCAGTCAGGCTACCTCTGGCGAACACATGGAGGGCTGTGCAGCCCCCTAAAGAAATGCCACCCCACACCCTTACTGACCCATTGCCAAACTAGTCATGCTGGAGGATGTTGCAGGCAGCAGAATGTTCACGGCATCTCCAGCCCCTGTCACATCTATCACATGTGCTCAGTGTGAATCTGCTTTCATCTGTGAAGAGCGCAGGGTGCCAGTGGCGAATTAGCCAATCTTGGTGTTCTCTGGCAAATGCCAAACGTCCTGCACGGTGTTGGGTTGTAAGCACAACCCCCACCTGTGGGCATTGGGCCCTCATACCACCCTCATGGAGTCTGTTTCTGACCGTTTGAGCAGCCACATGCACATTTGTGGCCCGCTGGAGGTCATTTTGCAGCTCTCTGGCAGTGCTCCTCCTGTCCCTCCTTGCACAAAGGTGGAGGTAGCGGTCCTGATGCTGGGTTGTTGCCCTCCTACGGCCTCCACATCTCCTGATGTACTGGCCTATCTCCTGGTAGTGCCTCCATGCTCTGGACACTACACTGACAGACACAGCAAACCTTGCCACAGCCCACATTGATGTGCCATCCTGGGTGAGCTGCACTACCTGAGCCACTTGTGTGGGTTGTAGACTCAGTCTCATGCTACCACTATGCTGGCATCGCCAGCATTCAAAAGTGACCCAACCATCAGCCAGAAAGCATAGGAACTGAGAAGTGGTCTGTGGTCACCACCTGCAGAACCACTCCTTTATTGGGGATGTCTTGCTAACTGCCTATGCTTTCCACCTGTTGTCTATTCCATTTGCACAACAGCATGTGAAATTGATTGTCAATCAGAGTTGCTACCTAAGTGGACAGTTTGATTTCACAGAAGTGTGATCGATTTGGAGTTACATTGTGTTGTTTAAGTGTTCCCTTTAATTTTTTGAGTGGTGTATTTTGACAGTTTAGGAAATAATTGTATTTTGCCTCAGTACTGTAATCTAGGAAAATCTAATATTTTTATCTTTATGTTGCCTTATCTTTATCTTTCTTATGTTGGAAGTAAGAAATGTACTAGGCCTGGGGAAATAGCTTGCATGAGGAAATTGATGAATCCCTAATGTTATTATAGTGAAACCCAGCATTTGCTTATCAGTGGCCCAGTCCCTTAGTTAGTCTCTTAGTTGCTATGAGACTATTTTCATTTGCAAACATTCCCCAAGATTAGAAAAATCAAATGGTTGGGTGTGTGCGAAAATGCCTTATCTTCTGCTCAACAATATAATATGGCTTAATATGGTGTCCTAGTTCACATAATGTGGCAGTACTATGGTTGGATTCTTCAAACATATTAAGCCACTCAACAGGTTTTAGTCTAATGTAGTAATGTGCAAATCCATTTACTGTGTGCCCCACTGCAAAAACCAACACCAGAACCCACATTTGGACCTAAAATAAAAAATACTTTTGATGGAGTCTGCATACTTATCTTATCCTGTCCAGTATTATTAAATGTAATCCCAGCATTTTAACTCCAAAGCCAGCACCTTGATTGATTTCATGTACCGTTTAATGATTAGTTATGATTTTGGTCTAGACAGTTGGTGATAAGGGTGCCATGTTTGAATCACAGCCTATTGAGGGAGATTTTGAACTAGGATTTCCCCCTAATGGCCTAATTTGTTGAGGGCCATTTATATGTCATGCAGCACAGAATAAGCATCCACCTTTTAGTCTAGAGCAGGGGTAGTCAACCCTTTTTTACCTACCACCCACTTTTGTATCTGTTAGTAGTAAAATTTTCTCTAACCGCCCACCAGTTCCACAGTAATGGTGATTTATAAAGTAGGGGACAAAACCCCTACCGCCCACCATGAAAGCTGGAACACCCACTAGTGGGCAGTAGGGACCAGGTTGACTACCACTGGTCTAGTGTATGATTTATTTATGGATTCATTATGCTGTATGAACTCTCCCCCATTTACTGTAAACAAGTATGTTGTATAAAGTATGAATAAAAATCAGCTGGAGGTGAAATCATGGTCATGTAAGCCATATTTATAGTCTCACATGTTCAGGCTAAATATTTTATCTTCCCTCCTTTCCTAGACTGCTGAGAAAGAGTACACATAGTATAAAGGGATTCGTGGTGCCTCTTGGTACAACAATTATTTCCTGATCCAAATAGAAGAAATGTGAGATCATAAGTCACTTCAGTTCTGTTGCAAAGAATTGGGCTGAATCTGTGGGGTCACCAAGAACTGAATTCAGCTTGAAGGATGTTTTAGCTCTTAAAAGCTCCTTATAGCCTCTGAAAGACCAACAGGCTCATTTTTTAAATCATGTCTCTGAAAAATGCCCATACCATCCCAGTAGAAGACCATGTATGTGGTGATTTGAATGCCACCTCTGAAGTACAACTGCTTTCAGATATTTTGCTGCCTGAGGACAACATAGTCCATGTATATGCAGACACATGAGCACTTGTTCAGAAGCAGATCAGGTAGGTCGGTGAATTTTCCTCCCAATAGTGGTCCAAGACAACTCAGAGGAGCAACATTCATTGTGTAAATGTGGTTCAACCTCTTCCATTTAATAATTGCTGATCCCAACCTCCCTGCAAGGTGGGTTGTTGTGATCATTTCTGTCTCAGTGAGGATATGGCCAAACCGAATACATATAGAATTACTATCATGATGGCGTTCCCAAGAAATAAAAAACGTACATACATATTCACATGGTACACACTCCAATGTGCGACAGTTTATTTAAAGAAATTCTTAAGCCCAAAAACAAATCTCACAGAGCCTGTACACTACTTTCAATAAATATTTGCTACCATAAAGATTTTTGTTGTCCTGAAAAATAAAATTAGAAAAGAGAACTTCAAAACACCACAAAGATCATTTTCTCTTTTACACCTACATCTTTTTTGTTATCTTTAAGAGTGTAAACAGCTGAATCTGACCATCATCACCATTCCAAAGAGATTCAGTAGAAGTTAGTGGGCCAACAAGAGACTTTAAAAGGGGAGTGTCACTTTTGATTATCTAGCATAATTAAATTACCAAATGACCATCAAGTGTTTCCAGGATCAGGGCTTATAAATTACTAACAAGATTTGTTAGGGGAGGGGAAATCTTTCTAAAGGAACAGGTTGAAATATAAAAATACAACCTCTCTCTGCCTCTGCCCATTGTCCATAAAGCTAATTATTTTATGTGGGGCAACCCACTGGGATATTTTTCTATATTTAAAAGGATTCAGGGATACCATGCATAGGACAATGGCCTGAGTGTTGTTGACAACATTTTTTGCCTTTGGCTTTGGAAAATATTCTAAATTGGAGGATATGTGTGCTGCACATGCCTGAAAATTATGGCAAATGCTACAGAATCCATAAAAAAATTGATAGGTTAATCCTGATTTTGCATACAACAAGAGGTAATTTTTTCCTCCCTTTGCCTGCACCACTAATTTTCAGAGGAGAGGAGTAGGGAGGCTCCTTGGGAAGCCTATTCCTGAATGCTGATTACATCTGGCCTTTGCTCTTCTCTGTAGTTAAAATCTGTGGACTTGGACATAAGATAGCAAGCAAAAATGGCAGCAAAGATTTGCAATGTAGGAGACCTACGACAACCTTTACAATTCAGGTGTGTCACATCTGGCTATTAGAAAGGAAATCATGGTGCATGACTTTTTACCAGTAATCCTTTACTTCCTAGGACAGTGGTTCCCTAACTTTCTGGCTTGGTGGCCCGGTGCAGATGGAAGAGGGGAGTGCATGCCCCTGCTGGTCACACAAATGGAGCTTCGCACACAAGTACAAGCACCTGCTGCTTGTGTGAGTGGAGCTGCATGCATGCATGTTTGCCTGCCTCTTCAGCAGCTTAGTTCTGAATAGGCTGTGGTCCTGGCATTGGGGACCTTCTGCTAGGACATTTAGAATGGAGTCATAATACAGAATCTTTGTCTTTATGTTTTAAACAATCCCAGAGTCCCAAAGAACTTCAGCATTGTCTATACTGCCCAAGTATGCATAGCAGAAAATACGTATTTGCATACCTGTATAGGTTTTGTCCCACAGCTGAGTTATGAATAACCAGAACTGGCTAAATTTCTAATTTCTTTACATGACTAAAGAGTCAATACACTGGATTATTAAGTGGAATAAGCTTATGTACAGTGACCCATCTCTCAGGTTCAGCTACTCTTGATTCAAAGTTGGTTGGTTGGTTTTGCCACAAAACAAGTTTTGTTATTTCTAATTCATAGTTAGAGAGATTGTGTTTTATGACAACAATGAGGAAATTATTACTGTAACCTATGGTTTTTGCATATGTAGGCTGTAACTGCAATCTTATCCTCTTCTGTTTGAAAGGAAGTACAGCTAAAATCTAGTTAAAATATTTTTTAAAAAATTGTCAAAGGGATAACGAGAGCATTAAAATTGCCAAACAACAACAAAGTCTTTGTATATAACAGATTGACCCACAGCTGTACTGGTTGAAGCTTTTCCCACTATTTTATGATATATTGCATTCTATTTGTATCGGTTGCCAAATTTGTGTCTGTATGAGTTTGTGTATCTATACCATCCTCTGTTTGGGTGGGGGGGATACATTTCCTCTTTTCTTATACTGCATAAGTGGCTGACTTCTTTAATTCAAGCACCCATCCAAGTGAACGCAAAGCAATGAGAACACAGCACATCTGTATGTGATCAGATGTATATGCTGAGCTCTGTCAAAAAGACACTTGAGGTTACCAATCTCTGGGTGGGTTGGACCAAAAGAACCTTGATTTTGAAAGCAAGCATGCAGAATTGAAATAAAAGGCAGGAATAGCACATTTTTGTTTTGTACCAAAAACATTTTTCCAAATTGCTTGCCATAATTTTAAATCAGTTTTTCTATCCATCATAATCCCAATGATATGTTAATGGATTGTTGGGATTTTAAGAAGGATAGATAGGTAGAGACTGGATTGTAAAGTAATTACATTGTCCTAAATTTAGTTATGATAAAAACATTGATATGTTACTAGCTGTGCAAGAACAGAAGAGGTCTATTTGTACTCATTCAAAGGCACAAAATGTATATCCCCTTTAAAGCAAAGTGCTGCAGAGAGATTGCATCCTCAGACAGATGCATAGCTGAGTTATACTCATGGTTTCCAATTCAGCAGGTGATACTTACATCGAGACCTACTTTGTTGCACCAATCTCTAGTAGATCAGAACAAATCAGCAAGCTGATATGTAGCATTATGGCATGCACTTCAGAATTAAGAAGTATTTGTGCACATTGTGAGTTTATCAGATCTCTCCATGTTGAATTTCACATATTAATATTTGCTAAACATTTCAATGCATTTAAGAAGATAAAATCGTTTCTCATTGCTCAACAATATGCAGGAATGGCAGAGCTTGGAAGCAGAATTGAAAATAGCTACAGTATGTGAAGAGAACCTGCAGATGTGTTGCGTTGATGCATTTCTACTGGAGTATGTCTGTCCTTGTCATTTGCCACACACAAGCAAAAGCTCTTATACATGAATATAAGGGAATCCAAGAGCCAAGATCTGGGCTCACCATGAAAGCTTGCATCACTTAGATCCACAAATGTCGCAATGAATGCATGTTTAACACCAGAAGACTACCACCTGGAAACTGTAGAATAAAGAAGTGTGATTACAAAGAACCTCATTCTATGACTTAGCGATAGTTTTGGCAGTGCCCATGGAGGAGTGGGCTATTTCCCACAAAGAGATGCATCTTACAGGGAATTTCTAACATAGTTACCTCTGCAGGAAACCCCCCCCCCCCCATCCTTTGCTATTACACCTCTCTGACTTCTCTTAATTGCCATAGAACCCATAATAACCACTGTCCCCACCACCTTCTTTGTCATAAAGCTCCCCATTGCGGAGAGGTGGGGAGCTTTCGGCACTTGAGACATATGGAGACACTCTGCGACGCTTACACTCAGCTTCGTATAAGCCAGAGTCTGAAGAATCTGCAGACTTCACCGAGCCTGGTTCAGCCCAGCCCTCATTGTCCTTCCCTTTCTCCTCTCCAGCAGGCAAGGCCTGCAAATCCCGCATGGGCCGGAACCAGCTCAGGGGCCCTGGATTGGGCTTGGGATGGTGGTACTGAGATGGTGAACTCCATGCAGGAGGCGGACCAAATGGGTGGTCCTGATAGTAGGGCAAGGAGGAATGGGAGGCCGGCTGGAGAGCAAATGGCTTTACCCCATAGGGCATAAATTTGTTCCCTCGGAAGTCTCCCTCATAGGCACCATATTCCAGGGGAGCAGGGGGAGGCTGTTGTGAAGCAAAATACCAGTGGGAAGGATCCTTGGGTGGCAGAGGGAGTGGGACACATTCCCGATTGAAGAAGCGGCTCTGGGGCAGTGGAAACTGGTCATGCAAGAAAGGCTGGAACCGGCTGCCTGACAGGAGCTGCTGGCAGCTGGCCACACTGGGTGGAGATGGGGTTGTGCGTTCTCCCTCAGTTGTGGTATACATCCTGGCAAAGGGTGGAGAATGAAGAGAGAGAAACAGCAAATGGGTGTGAGACAAGGAATCTGCAGCAGATAGTTAGGAAAGACAATCATTCTTGGCCACTAAATTGGATTGTAAGCATATTTTAAATCGTGGTACCTGTTTGTCCTGCTCTAGGATGGACAGTTGGCTGTACTCCACATACAGCTCACATATATTCCAGATACCATAACTAATAATCAAGGATTGTAGGTGCTGTATCTTCAGATCTCTGGAGAATACCAGGTTATCCACTGCTATTTTTGTTTGCTAACTCCCTTCTGCAATCCATCTAATATACTAATTACTGTGCAATTAAGAAACCATATCAAACTACAGCTTGGCATAGTTCTTCAACCATTTCTATGCAATGATTAAATTGGTAACACACCTAGAGTAGGCAGAAGGTGTTACGATCAAATAGAATACAAGGGGTTATGAAATGTTAATGAATACATTAAGAAATTGAAAGAAAATGCAATATACTTACGTATCAAAATTGTCGCGGAAGCCTTTAGCAAAAGGATTATGATCTATTTTCAGCTGAGTAATCTAAAAAAAAATCAAGGAAAAGGTGAGAAAATGGTAGCTATAAATTTTATTAACATTATAACAATGTAATGTAATATAGTAATGTAATTTAACATTAATTATATAATATCAAATGATAAGATATAAGATTTGTAACATATCAAAAAGGAATGAGTTTAGCTATCTCATCTCATCTTATCTTGCTCAATTCATTAATTATTATTATTATTAATATGGTTCATCATATAGTTAACCAGATGTTTGTGTCCACTAAACCAGATGTTTGTGTCCATGTACCACAAAGATCCTGGATTTACTATTACTATTATTGCTATTACTATTATCACAATTACTATTACTATTATTTGTCTGTCGTATGTGGGATGGCACAGTGGCTCAGTGGTTAAGGCGCTGGGCTTGTCAGCTGGAAAGCTGACAGTTTAGCTTTGAGACCTGAGAGCCATGCAACAGGGTGAACTCCCATCCCTGTCCCAGCTCCTGCCAACCAAGCAGTTCAAAAGCTTGGAAATGTGAGTAGATAAATAGGTACTACTGCACTGGGAATATAACAGCATTCTGTGACTTCATTCTCGCCACCTGACTATGAAAATGTCTTCGGACAGCGCTGACTCAATGATCTTGAAACAGAGATTAACACTGCCAGGGGTGGGATTCAAATTTTTTAATAACTGGTTCTGTGGGCGTGGCTTAATTTGTGGATGTGGCTTGGTGGTCATGTGACTGGCTGGGTGTGGTTTGGTGGTCACATGATCGGATGGGCATCGTTTGGTGGCCATGTGACTGGCAAATCAAATATAAGTGGCCCTTGCTTAATGGCTGGTTGCTTAGCAAGTGTTCTAATTTATGACTGATCTCCCCAGAGCTACTTGACCTGTTTTTGGAGATTTGACAGCCATGCGCGCATGCACACCCACCCACTCCCTTCTAACCCTGCTATTCTATGATTCTATAAGGATCTCCTGCTGGAGCAGGGGGTTGGACTAGAAGATGATCTCCAAGATCCCTTCCAGGCAAGCCCTGGATTGCTGTGCTATTTCAAAGAGTCTTCTGAAGCTAAGGTTTGTGTCCGTCCTTCCTCTCCTTTTTTCTCTCTCTCTCTCCCTCCTTCCCTCCCATGTATCTATCTATTCATATATCTCATTCACTTTCTCCTCTCTCCCTCCCTCTTTCTTTCTGTCTTTCTGTCCCTTCCTTCCATCCCCTTTCTTTCTCTATCCCTTTTCTTCCTTTCTCTCCCTTTTTCTTTCCCTTTTCTTTTGTCTCTTCCTTCTCTTTCTCTCTCTCTCTCTCTTTCTCTTCCTCTCTCTATTTCTCTCTTCCCCTCTTTCCCTCACTCTTTCTTTCCCTCTCTTCCTCTTTCCCTCTTTCCCTCTTTTTCTTTCTCTCCCCTTCTCTCTCTTTCCCTCTCTCTTTCTCCCCCTCTATCCCTTCCATTCCTCCTTCCCTCTCTCCTAAGGCTAGGAGACCCACCTGAAACACACACATACACACACACACACACACTTCCAATGTCACTCGTTAACTTACTTCCCAGTTGCGCACTTTCCCTGCCGTCATTCTGGCTGCTGGGCACTGCCCGTCAGCAGGAAGATCAGGCCGTGCAGAGGCCACCGCAGGTCGGGCAGGGCGTGGGGTGGTGGGTGAAGGTCCCATGGCCAGAGGTGCAGACTGAGCCCTAGTCATGGTCCTCAACTGCCGCGCTGCTCTGGCTGCTCGCCATTGCCCGCCAGCAGAAAGAGCAGGCTGCCGCAGGTTGGGCAGGGTGCAGGATGGTGGGTATGGGTCCCACTGCCAGAGGGGCAGACTGAGCCCGGACACGGCTCCCCAGTGTTGGGGTGTCCCGGAGGGGTTGTGGTGTCGCCCCATGGTCAGAGCGATGGCATTGGAGGTGGCCATGCCTGAGGTGAAGGCCTCCACAGATGCGCCCCCCACGCACAGCCCAGCACTGATGCCCTAGCAACCTCCATGTCCGCAAAAGCAGCTGCCTCTCCCTGGATGCCGCCAAGCCAAGCCGGCCAAGGGAGCGCCTGGAAGATGAACTCGAAAGGGATCCCAAAGACCCAGACTCCCCCCCCTTCTCCTCATTGGTTCCCGACCATCTTAGCTCCCTGGAACGGCCTGCTTGTCTGAGGCCACTGACTTGCCCCTGGCCAGCCCCCCATGTGAGGCACCCTCCTTGCCTGATCTGGACAATGCTGTGGGAGGACAGAGAGCCTCCCTGGCGCCTGGGAAAAGCCTGCCAATGGCCCACAGGCTGCTGGGGGGGGGTGCAGGAGGCAACCAGGAAGCACGAGGCTAAGCCACCTGCATCGCCCCTCCTTCGTCGAGCTGAGTGTTTTAGCTGAGTGCAGGCCGCTGCTGTGTGAGCTCCATGGGCTGGAAGATAAGGCTGATGACAGGGAAGGAAGATCCGCTCTCACGAGGCTTGACTCGCATCATTCTCACAGCAGCGGCCCACATTCAGCCAAAGCATGCAGGCCATCAGGTGGCAGAGGGAAGGGGCACCATAGCTTCGTGCTCCCTAGTCACTCCCACCCCACCCTGCCCCTAGCAGTCAAGGCCCACCAGTTGCGGAGAATCCAGGTGAGGGCGAGAATCCAGCCTGGCGGGGACCCAAGCGGTGATGAGTCAGCCCTGGCTTGCCTTCCTCTCGGCCACCAGTAAGCCAGGTAACTGGGATGGGGGGGAAGCTTGCTAGGCTGCGAGTTCTGCATGGAGCCACAGCGTTGGCGACTAAGCAATGCAGGCAAGTGGGGAGGGAAAGCTTGCTAGGCCACGAGTGCCGCATGAAGCTGCAGTGCAGTTGAGCAAGCCAGACAGGGATGGTTGGGGGGAAGCTAGCTAAGCCATGAGCGCTGAGGCGGCAGCGGCAGCCTAGGCCAGCCTGGGAGTCAGGACTCAACTGGGGCTGGCAGCAGCAATGGCATGTAGGCGACCGGGGTTTGCAGAGCTTCACTCACCTAGGGAAATCAGGTGGTGGAAGACAGGCAGCGATGGCTGGCTGGCTGGCTGGTGGCTGCTTCTGCTGGAAGCGATGGCGGCCGGTGGGAAAATGTGGCAAGCAATGTAGCGCACATGCGCTATAAGGAGTGACTGGGGGCAGTTGGGGGGAGAATGCCTTCAGCTATTGTAGCGCATGCACGTGATGTCGCACATGCACAATACAGGCTGGCTGGGCAGGGAACAGAGGACCCGGCGGGGGGGGGCAGCTAGGGGCCCGTTTTACTAGTTCTCCAAACTACTGGGAATCGTAACAACGGTTCTACTGAATTGGTGCGAACCGGTAGTTTCCTATCCCTGCACACTGCCCTCTATAAGTAGCGATGTCTAATGGGGTAAAATCCACAGGGGCTCCTTTTTACCATGCTGTATGTGTTATATGTGTTATACCAAAATCCACTTATATAATGATGGGAACAATTGTATTAATAATAATAACTATTGTATGCTATGACATAATGGATTTTTGATCCTTGTGTCACTTCAGGGAACTTCAAGTGTGCTCATTAATTCTTTACCTGCAATCACAGTTGCCTTTTTCTTTTCTAAATTAGCTGATGTGCTCTTGCCAAGAGGATATTTATTAACAGGGTGATTGTTAAAAAATAACTTTCCCTATCTGAACTTTAATTAAGTTCCTTGTGCCAGTCTGTGATGTAGTTAGAAGATTAGACTAAGACTAGGGAAAGCCAGGTTCAAATCCTAGCTAAGTTATGGCACTCAATACAATAATCCCCATTTAATGACTTTCTCATTTAGCAACTTTGTTTGTAGTTATGATAGTGATGAAAAAATAAGTTTGAAACACATCCTCTTTTTTACTGCCTTTGAAGCAAAGGAAAGCTTTAATAAGATCATAAGCCCAATTACAATTTCACTTAGCAATTGCTTTGATTAATGACCAATATTCTGGTCCCAATTCTGGTTGCTAAATGAGAGCTGTCAAATTTTATCAGGTCACATGACATATCACGATGTGTTTTGTCTTTTCAGAGCTGGGTGGGTGTGGCCTGTGTATGATGCATCCGGCCCATGGGCCACTTGTTTGACAGGCCTGCTATAGATAATTTGAGCCCATTTCCACGTATAGGCCTAAAAATCCCTCACAGGAATACCATGGGGGTGAGAAGCCAGGAGTGTATGAAGTTTTATAGGAATGCTGGGATAGAATACTACAGACAGGCAAATACATATTTTCAAACTTTGCCACCACCTTCTCATCCTTCTGCCATATGAAGAGTAAATGGGGGCAATCCCACTTCTCGTGTAAACTTACATCAGCATTTTGGTATGCAGTAACCGCGATGAACTGAGTCTCTGAAAAAGTAAAGGTCTGAGTGCAGATTGAGGGGTGCACTTCATCCACTTCACCCTGCTTGGCCTCAGTAACATGCAGGCGAGGCTGATACTTGTGTAAGGACTGCAGTACAATCATCTGCCAAATACACAGGACACAATTCATTCATACATGATCTGCGAGTTGCAGCTGAACATATTCCACCCCAATAACAATTCTGGATTTTTTAACAGCAACACTGATGGGATGGATAAAAGCCAGATTCAGGAACCCCGTTACCTGGGTGATATTGTTTGATGCTCCTTTATTGTTGGTGAGCTTCAGTTTTCCAAAAGAAATTTCCTGTCGCATCCAATGAGTTCCAGTGTTGGGAGAATCTGGATGCATGTATGTCCGATTCCCTGAAGGATGGCATTTCCGGTAAGTATCTTGCAGTTTAAGTATGAAGAAAGCACATACTAAACTATTAAGTAAATAAACTCACTTGAAGCCACTTGAGACCAACTATTCTTGCTAAGTTTTGCTCAGCCTGTTCCTGAAATGACATTTCCCAAATTTTTCATCAGGAAGTATGACAATTATATATAGTGGATGCTTGTTTTGATAGCGAGGTGGGGTGGGGAGAACAGGCATATATAGATTACAGGATCCTATTTAGAACTATGACCCTGGCTATAAATAGGATAATCTGGAGTGTGAAATCCCATCAATATGCCATTTTCTTTACATTTTTAGTCAGCTTTTTGGGCCAAAGGGATTCTAATAAACAGCAGATTACCCTAAACCCATCTCAGCTTGCAACATAGCCACAGATTATAATTTGTAAGATAAAGCATTATGTTTTGAAATCAAGATATGTTAAAGCTCTATTACCTGCTGTACAAACGATTAGGATAAGAATGGTTCCTAAATGTGCAAATCTATGTCCAGGGTGCTCCAAAGGGATCAATATTGACCCCCCCACCAAGGTTGATTGGATGTTGGGATTGATAAATGGCTGGTGGTCAATAGGAACAGTCCAAACCCGGAAGAACATGATGATTTATAACTAAAATTCACCCATTTCTAACTATATATCAGTGCTCTTGTTGATGCTCGTCAGATGCAACTTTCCCATTAATATCAACATTAACATGTTTTTCATATTTTCACAATTACCTATTTTTAATGAAATTATTATTGCTATTATTATCCTTTATTTGTAATACAGGTAGTTCTTGACTTATGAGCACAACTGGGGCCAGAACTTGCTAAGCAAGGCAACTTTTAAGTGAGTTGTGCTTGATTTTTTTGCCATGGTTGTTAAGTGGATCACTGCTATAGTGAAGTGAATAACATCGTGGTTAAGTGAATCTGATTTTGCTTGTTGGAAGTCAGCAGAGAAAGTTGCAAATGGTGATCCTATAATTGCCAGGATGCTACAATGGTTGTAAATAACTACTAATTGGCAAGCATCCCAATTTTGATAACGGGGATGCTGCCATTGTAATTTGAACAATTACTAAATGAATGGTCATATGTCAAGGACTATCTGTATTATTAAAGTAATATTTAAAATATTATTTTTATATAATAAACATTTAGGAATCAATAGACAATCTGAAGGGGCTGATGAGCAGAAGAATTGGGGACTCCTAGTTTGTTCTAACATAAATTCTTAATCTCTAAATCTCAAAATTCACTGAACAATCAGGCCATGTAGTTTACTTTATAACAGTAGATTTTATAGCAGTAGTTTATAGTCATTTACTTTATAGCAGTGGAAATACACTTTGCATATAGTCGGATATCTTTAATTTATTATTTCATAGAATAACTTTTGTACTGTCCGTAGGAATAGGAATATTCTTCATGAAAAGGAAGAGGAAGGAATATTATGTATGTTTGCCACCTTGAATTGTTTATAAGAATAATAAAAGTGGGATATATATATTTTTTAATTTTTCTTGCACTAACATTTTGTTAACAGGTTTTTAATGATTACAGTGCCATTTCCCAACTCTGGCAGCAGATGGAGCAATGATTCTTGAAACTGGGGTAAATATTTGAAAATGCAACTGGGATGGTGGAATGACAACAATGAAAGGGATTTTTTTCCACTTTCCAATTTAAATCAGAAAAAAATTAAACACCCAACCTGTGTGACAATTTTATTTACAAATTACCAGTATCTGCTAATAATTTTATGATATTTGAACTAGTATTAATAATAGGAATTCCAGTTAGGACACAAAATCACTTTTTTCCATCTCCAGATAAGTTCTAAGCCAGCAAGAAAATGGAATGGTTTCATAGAGATCCCCTGAACAATTGTAGCTTCTGTCATTGAGCAGATAGAAAATGGGGTCCACTGATTGGGCAGATATGGGGTAAAAGAAACATTTTAAATATTTTAGTTGCAAGCTACCCAGAGTCACTGAGAGGGTGTTGGGCGGCCATATAAATTATCTTTAAAATCTTTTTCCAGATTCAACATTTTCAGCATTGCCTCCCCCTTCTCCAACACACTTTTTTAAAGAGAGTCCTAATATTTCACCCAAAATGATAGCGACAGATACTTAGCACCTGCCTTTGAGGCTTGTTTAGCCATTTCAAGATGTTGTTATTAGCCTAATTGGTTGGAGACAGGAAATAACTGCTTCTTGTAGGTTCCTCCAAAATCCTAACTTTCATCTAAAAATTAGTACAGTAGGCCCAAACTTATGACCCATTGCTTAGCACCTATTTAAAGTTACAGCACTTATGACCTGGATTCAAAATTCCAATGCCTCCCCCCCCCACACACACATACACACCATAGTCACATGATTGCATTTTGCATTCTCAGCAATTGGCCCACATTTATGGCTGTTTACAGCATCCTGCAGTCATGTGATTATGATTTACAGTATTTTTTGGCTGGAAGCAAGCATTTATTTCCAACATCTGACCATGACAACTTGCAGACAGTGGGTTTCATTTAACAACCACCATGTTAACGTAATGTTCACTTAATGATTGCCACAAAAATGTCATAAAATCAGGTCGGTAGTGCTTAGGTGCCTCAATTTATAATTGTCGTGACATATGACAGAAATTCCAGTTCCCATTATGGTTATATTGAGGTTATATATTATGGTTATATTGATTATATTGTTATATACTGTAAATGTTTTGGGAAGTCTTTGTAGAAAAGCAATAGATAAACATTTTAAATCTATGAATTCCTACATACAAAATAGAAGATTCATGACTGAATTAAACCAAAAATGAATCCTGAATACTGTATGTGAATAAATAATAAGTGTAAGAAATAGGGCTGTGTGATGTTGAAAGGAAAGGGGTGGAGCATGTGTGATCATCTCCATAATAACTGCCTATTCCTGAGAAAAGATATGACTCCATTAAGAGTAGCCATTGGGAAATTCAGTAGCATTAAAAAGCACCTTGTTCCCCTCAAATCTGAAATGCTGCACGTCCATAGTAAGAAAGCCTTCACATTCATGGAGAATGCATCTCTTTTATTATTTTATTATCTTGGATTGGACAGAATACGTTATCTAGAAGCTTTGTTGGGGGCAATATGCTGACTCTGTAAAAACTGCTTAGAGAGGGCTGTAAAGCACTATAAAGCAGTATATAAGTCTAAGTGCTATTGCCATTGCTATTAAACTGTCATAGACCTCCTCATTCATGCTGCTATAGATGCCTGAGGATAAGTCCAATGGCAGAAGCCTGAGGATGGGAAGCACGTATTTTTATTGCTGAGTTTTTATTATTCATTTTAGAGCATGAGGCCAAATTAGATCTGAAACCATTCATATTTAATTTAGGGTGGTAATTGCCTCTTTAAAAAAAAAAGAAAACAAAATAGTTCATGCACGTACACTTAAAGGAAGAGTTTTTAAATGTTTGCTGTACTAGAATTCTGATTGGAATTTTATTCCTCCAAAAAGAGAGAGAAGAGACAATGAAGAAAGAGAGGATTTCTCTATTTATACCTGGCATATTTCCCTCGGCCTTGCCGCACTGAACCCATTTCCCTCCTTGGTATCGCCAGTGGTGCTGATCCACTAACACAACATCCACATAGATGCTATAATGAGCCACAGGATCCAGCCCGGAGATGTTGAAACTCAGAAATGGAAACATCCTCCTAATTGGTGAGGTAGAAAGAAGGATTGGGGAAGAGAGAAAAGAAAGGTAGGCTATCACATTGCATATTTCCCACAAACTCAGTTTATTCACTGCTTGTATGCTGAGACATGCCTATAGTCAAGTAAGGCATAATTTTAAAGAAAATATTACAGCAACCATTCATACTTCAGTTTTCTTTCTGTATTACTTATTATTAGCAAATAATTACAAGGTGACACATCCTTGCTTGGCCCTATTGCCATTTGAAATCTTAATTGAGCAAAATAACTCATGTAATATGCATTCCCACCAAATTCTTACTTTCCAACTATGTAGTCCACAAGTAGCCTATATATTGATTACATATTACACACATACAATGTTGCATAACTTTGCATTTTAGAGTTTCTTATTGCATATTATCTGTGTTTTTTTCTGATTTATGTCTTTGTGTCTATGTTGACACAAAGTAAAAAATTGGCCTCATTGCAGTACACATATGACCAAAACATTATCCATCTGTTGCATGAAAAAGGCTACTGTAGAAAGATGGGATATAATTTGGATCAATCAATCAATTTATTAATACTCCAATAGACTGAAAAGACATAAGAAAATCAGTATGACACAGTGATTAAGGAGCTTGACCAGAAGCAGAGAGACCCAGCTTTTAGTTCTCCCTGGAGCATGGAAACTAGATGGTGATCTTGGACCAATCACATCCTTTCATCCTAATGAATATTAGATTCTGTCACAAGCCAGCTGATAAAACAAAATATCTTGTCTCACCATTCAACAGCAGAAATGTTTATGGCTCAATGCTTAAATATAAAAGTGATATAAATATAAAAGATTGGTTAGGACAGTAAGGGCAGATATTTTGTGCTTGGCATATCAAAAATTAAGAAAATGTCTAACTTTACTGGCAAGTTACCCACCCCCAAATACCGTCCCTCCCAAACTAAAGAGAAACAATTATCTATCTCCTTCCACACTTAAGCCACCTTTTACAGCAGTGGCAGCAATGTTGATACTAGGCCTGAAGTAGAAGTAGCCTGTGCCTCAAAACTTCAGCCCTAGCACTAATACTGACCCTCAAAATGCTACTTTGTGTTGCTGTCCAAGATGCAACAGGCCCCTATGGTCTATCAAAGGCTTCTCTGGGTCACACAAGGCCTTCATTCTTGAAAAAGCTTTGGAGAATGCTCTTCTTCAGCCTCTACATGCCCTGCAAAGCACCCCAAAATATGCGCTATTCTCATGTGATTTTTGAAGACTCTAGAGATCACACCAATGCTTGTATAGCCTCCAAAGTGTATTTTCAAGAGTAGTTGTCAGGTATTGTTGAACTCTGATGAGTCATCCAAAATATTGTGGCATGTCACTTTTGACACAAGTGTCATAAGTTCTCCATCACTGTGTTAGGAGTATTTCTTCCAAAGAAAGAAAGGAAGAGGAAAGAGATAATTTTTTATCCTGTATCAAAATAACCCTTTGCTTCCCATCTGTTCTTACTGGTGGTCGTGAATGTGCAATACATCCTCCAGCTTCTTCAGTGGCTGCATTTATCCCTAAGAAGGTTTATTTACTTCCCAACGGACAATTTCCAGCCATTCATAATTGGTTCATCTAATTCAAACAGGGCAGCTCAAACAGAATAGAAGTGCTATATTTTCTTTCCTGAAGAACTGTTGAATTGACTGTGACAGATGTAAGAACAGCTCTGTTTCTTTTTTCACCGCCTCTGACCTTAAGCAAATTCTCTACCTTACCAATTCCCTCTTGCTCCTCCCTGCCTCTTTCGTTCCCCTTCTGCCACATTTCCGGTTCAGAAATAGACACTGCTACTATTTTCAGAGAAAGTGAGAAGAGGAGAAAGAGAGAGAGAAAACCCCTCAAGACAGATGGACAAAACGTCAGATGGCATAAGAAGTTTATTCCCAGGGCAAATTGTTTGCTATTTGAGAATGGAGAATCCAAATCACGCATATACATACATTGAATAATCTGGTGTTTGCTTACAAAACAGTTTTTCTACCTAATTGAAACAACTCCTGTCTGAACAGTTCCCATCTATTTGAACAGGTCCTATGCAAAATAATTTATCATTATATTGTTGTTTAGCAAGTAGCAAGTAAAATGAATTATGATTGTGCCAAGCTGCGTACAATCTGTTAGCAATCTTTTCCCATACATCCACACATATACTGATATAACTGAGGAGGAGGAGAAAGTTAAAGAAATTCTGATTGTGCACAAAGGACTGTCAGCAACCAGGCAGGAGACACACTTGTTACAGTTCTCGAAGGAAGTTTGGTTAAGAGTTGGGATTGGACAAAATAGAATCAAATATTTATTCCAAATTTGCAGCACATGGTTTCTTTTGAAGTTATAGAAATTTAAATTGGGCTTAGCTTTGTTCCATTAGTTTCTCCACAATTCAAGTTTAATGTATTTTTAAAAAATAGGCTCAATAGATTAATATTCATCGTGATTCATTGTCCTTTTCCTTTTAATCTATTAAAATACAGGATCATCTTGAATAGGGCAGAGGGGGATGAGAAATAAAGAGAATATGTGTTATTTTCTGTTCATTATGTTTAAAGACTTGGCAATTGTCAGAGATAAGCTTCCTTTACTCTACATGGCAAATGATGTAAAACGTAAGTACATGCATTATATGAAAAATATAACATCTCCCCACATATGACTAACATACGTATTGTCAGAAAACTCTTATATTCCTGAGTTGTCAAATACTTGGAAACTCAGAGATGCAATTTAGGTGGTTCAGCAATTCAGGCTAATATGAAACACCTTTATCTTAAAGAAGCCTATAGATCACTCATTAGCACAAAGTATAATGTAAGGAAAAAGGCATGATTAGGAAATTAATAAACATCCTTTATGGATTCTGTGCTGTGCAGCCAGTCTATGGGAATTGGATAGTTAGTTAGCAATTGTGAGCTGTTCCCTTAAGAGAATGCATCATGGTAAATGTAGTTAAGGTATCCTGGGAAATGTAGTCCATATCACGTGACCACATCTGTAATCCTGATTGGTCACTAAATTGACCCTCGATGGGTTGGAGGAGGTTTCCTCACTCTTGGCTGAACTCATGGACTCGTGGTAACTGTTCTACTTCTATCGCTATTGACTAGATATTGACTGGAGATACAAGACGAGAGGATTGTGGGAATAAAGATTTAAAAAGAAACTTACAGGTTAAGGACTTTTATAAGTAAATTGACATTGATTTTGGAAAATCATTTAAAAGGACACTAAGGGACAAATTAATTTAGTGCATTAGCAGAGTTAAAGATTAACAAACAATATGAAGATAGAAGATCAAATAGAATTGAATGCACTGGGTTTTAAAATTCAGAAGAAGGTAAATTATCTGGTATTACTATGAGTCTATGTTATTTCTATATTTTATGAATTAACATGTTATTTCAAAATAACTATGTTAATACATGGAATGAAGTTAAAAAGACATGTTAAGATGGGTGAAACTACAACTTTGCTGGGGAGAATTTCGTTAATAAAAATCAACGTCTTGCCTGCAAGGATGTTTTTATTACAGACAATACCTGTTTTGGCAATTTACTAATTAAACAGTGACAGAAAAACTTGAGTGGCAAAAAGCCACTGGTTAAATACAGGTAGATCTCGAATTATGATCACAACCGAGCTCAAAATTTCCATTACTGAGCAAGAGAGTTGTTAAGTGAGTTTTTCCATTTTATGACCTTTCTTGCCAGTTGCTAAGTGAATCACTATAGTTCTTAAGTTTGCAACATGATTGTTAAGTGAATCTGGCTTCCCCATTGACTTTGCTTGTCAGAAGGTCACAAAAGGGGATCACATGACCCTGAGATGCTGCAATTGTCATAAATTAATGCCAGTTGCCAAAGGCCTATATTTTGGTCACATGACCATTGGATGCTGCAATGGTCGTAAGTGTAAAAAGCAATTATAAGTCACTTTTTTCAGTGTCGTCGTAACTTCGAAAATCACTAAATGGATGGTAGTAAGTTGAGGATTATCTGTATAAGGTATTAGAAGATGCAAAGAAAAGAGGAGTTTGCCTAATTGCAGTTTGCTGTTCGGTTTTCATGGAAGACTAGGTTCAACTGAGAAATAAAATGCTTTTCGGGTTGGGACATGACTTGAGAACTGGGTGGCATGGATATTTATGGTACATCAAAGTCAAGGTTAATGTGGATTTGAAAAAGTCATTATGTTAGATTTGTCTTCTTGAGAATATGGTATAGATATAAACCCAGGTTGTGTCCAAGACACCTTTTTAACTCTCAGCACAAGAACCATGTTATAAACAAGAAAAAATAGGCAAAAAAAAAAGGCTTACTTATTATGAAATGCCATAATTTTGCCAAGGAGAATATAAAATAAAATAAGGGAAGAACTTGTGACAGATGAATATATTTGTCAATGGTTTTCTTATCTATAGTTACTAGAAAGATTTAAACTAGACAAAAGAATGTATAGCTCTGAACATTGTTTGGATAAATATGAAATAGGAGCGTATACAAATTATAACTATGTAATTGCTAAAATATATAAACTTTTATCAAGCAAAAATGAATAAGTGAAAGAATATGATAAACATTTTGGTTTTAAAATAATAAGAAAGTATATGGTTGGAAAACTTGAAAATAACATTTTGTTATAATAAAGAGAATTTTTATAAAATGTTCTAACATTGGTTTATGTCACCAGGAACATTGTCTAGAATAGGGGTGTCAAACGTTATGTCACGGCAGTGTCACATGACGTATTTGAATTTCTCCCTCCCCTTTGCTAAACTGGGCATGGGCGTGGCCAGCAGATGACGCATCTGGCCCAGAGGCCGAGAGCTTGACTGTCCTGATATAGATTTCCATTTTACAAATGGAAACAGATAACAGATAACAGATAACAGATAATTAGAGTTGGAAGTGACCTTGTAGGTCATCTAATCCAATCCCCCGCCCAAGCGGGAGACCTTACACCATT